AAAAAAATAAAAAACTGCGATGCGGAGGATCTTCCTATTAAAATTAAGAGCTCATATTTGGTGAGAATTGTTTTAAGGTGTCTAGCAACCCATTTTTTCGTGGCACTTGTAAAAAAAAAAAATAATTGATTTTTTTGACCCACCCTAATACATATATTATGTGGGATAGCGGGGGGATAGATAGGGAGGGGAGCGCCTCCATGCCAAACTTATTGGGCCTTCGTGAGAAGGATTGGTCGGTGGGCCCTAAATAGCTCAATTGGTTAAAAGAACAGTCGCCCGGAAAGCGAAAGATCCGTGGTGTTCGAGTCCCGGTCCTCTAGTCAGTCCAGCGGTCCAATTATTTTTACGAATCCCACACACATATATATATATATTTATTATTTAAAAATATCCTAAAACAGATCGTATAATTACCCACGATTAGAAATGCAAAGATATTAAATACGCTTGTAAATCTAATTTTGAAATATATCCATTAAATTATGTAAGAATTATATAATAAATCAATCCCGATACACGTTTAGAATTTTGCAACGTGGTTACGTGAAATTTCTAGATAAAAATTCATACACGATGATAAATAATAATAGAAAAAAAAGACTTTACGATAAGTATATTTCAGATGTCATATAAAAGTCCTATTTTAATATAAAGTTTATATAATTCTATAATTTTCTAAGCAACAAAAAAGGCATTTTTAAATAACAGTGGAATTAGCAGATCATTTTTATAAGCAATTAGAATTTGCAACAAATAATACGATTGTTAGATAAAAATATATGTAAAGAGAAAAAAGAAAAAAAAAAATCCAAAAAATATAAGGAAGATAGGATCGTATAATCTGCTATTAGGCTTACATTATTGAAAGTTAATTCCTACATAGATTCAATAACAGACCGATTAGCAAATCATTCTGATCACACGATTAGAATTTTCAACGCCACGAACATCAAAGATGACACGAGATCTGCGGCATTGGAAATAATGATTACCAACGTCTAACGTTTCTAAGATATTCAGATTCTAATACAGTTAAGCATTAGCGTTAAACGTTTTACAATAGACCTTTTTTTTCTGTTTCTTTTTATTTTTCATAGATACATGATATTAGATTTTTAACGAATAGAATAGCGTGTCGGAAACCAATTAACGGTTCTTTTCATCTAGATGCATTCGATGGATAATAAATGCACATATGTGTCTGTCTGTATATGTTTATGAACATATACTCGTGTACTACGAATCTTATTTATCGGAAAATAGATACTCTCATTATTTAGTAATATTCAAATGAGTATCTCGATAAAGGGAAGGGAAAAAGGAAAAAACAAACAAAAAGTATTAAATAACAAAGGTGGGTTTAAATGGTGAGTATCAACGTTGTAATGAAGGTGTCGAGGAAAAACAATGCTCTTTATCGCGGAGAAGGGATCTTTTAAATCGTTATCTTAAATCTAGACTGTGTCGTATATTATTTCTTTGTGTAAGTTAAAATATTAACTCTTGCTACGTAAACGTCTAGATGATAAAATGAATCGTTGAAAAATTATTCTGAGAAATGCAACACGAATCTGTATTGATCCTATTTTATTATTAAAATTTTATGTTATTTATTTCATATTCTTTTTTTCTTTTTTTTCTGTGTGTGTATATATTTATGATTTTGAAAAAGAATTTTTATTAATGAATCAAACCTATGAAATAACACAACTAAGATTATCGTTAAACACTTGTTTTTTTATTGAAAAAAAAAAACGAAAATAAAAAAAATATTTCTTATGACAAAATTTATTAATACACCCTGTTTGCGGAGCGCGTTATGTGTGTGTATGCATGAGTGTCGTACGTGTATCATAAAGAAAAGATAACATTATCAAATTTATTCAAAATATATACAAGAGTTGATTGATAAGTTTTGAACATATTTATCTTATATAAAAGAAAAAAAAGAAAAAACATTGTTTTTACGTTAAATTAAAAACTTTTCAATCCACTCTACGTAGATATACGACAGTTATGCTATTTATTAATTAATAACAAAAATTTGATGTGCGCTTTTTTTTGTCAGGAAAAATGGAGCCATGCGAAGAGGAAGAACCAGAGTACATAAAAAATTGCGAAAATTCTAAATTTAAAATGATATTGAGGTTTTTGCATTACATCGATAAAAATGTAAACGCAGATGGAAAATTTCGAAATCAAAATATATTAGAAATTAGAATAATTTCAGTAGATACTAATTGGAGAGGCAAGGGTATTGCCAAGGCTCTCATCGAAAATACCACGTGAGTGTATAATTAATTAAAAAAAAAAAAAAATAACAAAAAAGAACATTACATAAATTAATAATAAACAAGGTATTAAAATTGTTTCAGTAATTTGTGATCTATTTTTACTAGTGTCAAATTAGATTTTGTTATAATTTTATTTTTTTGAATCAAAATAATATTACATCCTAAACGTGTATTCGTCGTTTTGTTAACGAATAGACAAGTAATTACACATAATTTCGGTCTCACAAAATAAAACAAACAAGGTATTAAAATTGTTTCAGTAATTTGTGATCTATTTTTACTAGTGTCAAATTAGATTTTGTTATAATTTTATTTTTTTGCTTATGTGTTCTCAGACAAATCGCAAGAGAACGTGGTTTCAATATAGTACGAGCCGATTGTTCGTCGATGTTTTCTGGAAAATTATGCGAACGACTTGGTTTCGAAGCGATATTTCAAATTAAATATACTGATTATCTCGACGAAAATGGAAAACCTGTTTTCTCGCCTGAACTTCCACACACGGCTGCTATAACGTATATCAAAAGATTATAAAATCATATTTTCTAATCAAAAACTTTGAAAATAAAAACAATTAATGTGATTTAAATTAAGAGTGTAACAATTGAGAGTGAAAAAGAGATACGATTAGATTTAAATTTTTTTTTTATAATCCAAATGAAAGATGTAAATATGTGTTTATTGTAATATTACGAACTTAGAATCATGTATCATTATTTTCTTATTACGAAAAAGATAATTAGCTTTCACTTTTTTTTGCGAACATTCATCGAAATTTCATAAAATATTCTCAAATTTGTATACATTTAAATCTATACGACAATAAAATTATTAATTGAAATATATTTAAAATCTAGGAATTTTTATTACTTTTATTTTCATTTAATGTTAAAATATTCGTAATTGTTATTAACTATATACATATATATATGTATATATATATATATATATACACATATAAATTATTTATTTAACAAAATGATAATTTAAAGAAAAAATATAAATTATTATAATAAAGGTATTTACATACTTTTTTTTCTCTTGATTACGTGTAAAAATATACAATTAAAAACTAATTAGTTCATAAACACTTTTATGTATTTATGAAACTTTCTATAAATATATATATATATATTCACTACAAATATCAGATATTTTTTACAATAATTTTTGTTAGATTGATATCAGACATTAAGCAATACTGAATCTAAACCGTACCAGAGTATTTGTACGATCGACTTTTGCAATAATTCTTACTAAAGTATTCTTTTTACTTTTCATCTGAAGAAATATTACTTTTACAAATGGATATTATTTAATCGTATATACAAATATATAAAATTTATTAAATTATAAAAACAAGTAAATAAAGCAAAACGAATTAGATATAATTGATCGTAAAATGATTTCAAAAATTTGTTTGCAAAGATATCTGTAAAACATCAGGCCTTGCACAGGTCAATTTTTAAAAATTTCTTCCATTTGATAAATAAAACAAATAGATTATCTGAATGACTACTCAATAACGTGAAATGAATAAAAACAATCAAAATATACGTTTCAAATTTCATAATAATCTTGACGAAAGTATCTTATTTGTCATTAAATTCTGTTTTACTTTGCTCTTCTTCGGTCAACCTCGTATTTTTCTTCTTGAAATTCATTTTTTCCCTCCTAAGTCTTTCATCATTTTCCTGCCTTTCCTTAAAATCACGTTGATATTTCGTTCGAATTAAATTGATTCTCGTTGTTCCTTGATTCACCATTAACAATTGACAAATTACACATATAACTCCAAATGCAGCGTACATTAGCAATTGATAATTTATTGATTTTTGTCCTTTGCGATTAATATTTCTGTCATATGGTTCCCATTGTCCTCTTGCCATTCTTTCTTCCCATTCTCTACGTCTGGTAATAAAATATTTAAACGAACAAATATAAAACTTTGTCTATACATATCAAAACGATATTAACTCTTTGGAGTCCAGACATTTCTTAATATGATCTATCAGCAATTCCGGTAAAAAATTTGTATAGTATTATTGTAAATAAGTTTTGTAAAAATTACAAAATGCTATTATATAAAAAGAAATAATCTACGCTTTTAATTTTATTATTCATTTGTCATCTTAAGATTTGTTGTATATCGTACAATTTATATATGAGTTGCTGCTAGCAACAAAAGAATTAATATTTTGGATATATTGACTTACGATTTGTATACATGATAAGGATTATGTTTTGTACTTCGATAAGTGTTCGAAGAAAATGATGAACGAGTTTTATATTTTAAAGTCATGTCGTATTCCCTCCTGGTGTGTTCCTTACTGAGAATATTGTAAGCTTCTTGCAGTATTACAAACTTATCGTGTCCCTTTTCTCCCATAATGTCAGGATGGAACTAAAGAAAACCATATATATCAACTTTTTATTAAATATATTCGTTACACCGAACATTCTTTTCCTGAAACATATTACAACGTCACTTTATTTTTAATCTAAACAAAAAATCATTTACTTTTTTCGATAATGCGATAAAGGCACTTCTTATTTCTTTTTGCGAACAATTTGGCGAAACTTCCAATATCTCGTAGTAATTATGGCATCTTTAAAGAAAGACATAAAATTTAAATTTTAATTTCAATGAAAAAATATTACTTGACACATCCTAACCTTTGAGTTCCATAACCTCGAAAGATCAATGAGAACAATTCCAATTTGTAGAAACGAGTTATTTGCATTGTGTCGTTGTAAAAAATAAAATAAATTAATTTACGAAATAAGTTTAATCGTTATGTCAAGTAGACACCACAATTTGTTAATTACGACTTAAATCTAAATGTTATGACATAACTTTGAACACTTTTCAATAAACAGAATACGTTAAAGCAATTTCGACCGACGTGCTCCCTTGTGTTTCTCCGAGAAAATAATTTATACGTCAAAAAAATAAATTGTATTATAAGCGTTAACACAGTTAGAATTAAATAATAATAATACGATCATTATTTTGTCGTTTTGTAATTGCATACGATGTGTATACATAACACTAAATGTATACGTGTAATATTCATATTTATTCTTAATATACGTAGAAATTGCTATGTAATATTAATTTTAATATGAAAATCATAACAAAAATTTGGAATATGCGACACTTGCTGCGTTTGTTTCTCACTCCTTTCACACTCATCATATTACAGTGCGCATGCGCATTAAACCAAATCGTGGCTTATCCTGCCATCTATATTCGAACCATACTCCTTCTTTCTAATTCCTTTAAGAACAGTTACATTTTTCTTAATGTTCTTAATTTTAAATTTACGTTAATTTAAAATTTCGACCTCGAAAATGTACGCTTGAAAGACTTCAATTTAATAATTTATTATTGAAAAAAAAGAAACACAATTAGACATAGGTAAATATTTGTATATAAAATTCCAATGAAATTTTGTAATTATTCGGTAGGTAAGGTAGAGTGTCTCAGCCGGATAAGTATATATAACCTAGTAGCATTGTTGTTTAAGAAAAGTGAGAAAAAATGGCGGACGAAAACGAGGATCAATGGTTATACGGAGATTCGGCGGACGTGAAAGATTTATCACCGGCAAATGTTTTAATTGAGAATCAACAAAATGATTCGTTATCTATTAATACGCAGGAAGCATCAGAAATTTTGGAAGAGAAGAAAAATGATAACGTTTCAGAAAGATTACCTGAGGTGCGTCGTTTATAACCTATTATTCCCGGCATTTATTTTACAACGTTATTTTAATGAATTTTAATATAAATAATCGATACAACATATTTCGTATATTTAACTTATATTAGAATTTATTTCATTTTTGCTTAGCTGTCAGAAAATGCAGGCTCACTTACAGAAGAGAATTCGGTAAATAATATCCAAGATGAAAATGATTCTGATGCTAATAAAAATGATACAAGAGAGGCTTCTATTAAAGAAGACGGAGAAGCCGCGAGTGATTCAGATTCTGATGACGATGTCCATGTGGTCATCGGTGACATCAAATCGACACCAGCATATGGTAGTTTAAATATTAAAAGAGGCGGCCTACTTACGAATGCATCAGGTGTACCCGATAAATTGAATAAACAATCTGGCAAATTTAGTATAGACGAATTTGAAACTATCGGTGTTATCAATGGAATGCCAGCGCATGAATTTAATTTGGATCAATTGGAGGATAAACCATGGAGACAACCTGGTGCAGATATAACAGATTATTTCAATTATGGATTCAACGAAGAAACTTGGCGTGCTTATTGCGAAAGACAGAAAAAAATGAGAAGCGAGTCTGGAGTAGGATTGATATTAAATGCTGGCGGAGGTGGAAGTAATCCAAGCAGTATGCGAGTACCACAAGTAGCAATTAATAACGATAATAGTAAATATTCTGGTATCATGGGACCAAAACGAGCAGGTCCACCTCCGGGAAGAAAAATGGCTGGTACGATAGATGTCATAGGAAGTTCTGGCTTAGCATCTAGAAGGAATCTTGACAAATCACCGCCTAAAGGAAATGTGATACAAGTGATGACAGCGGATAGGAGAGAATATTCAAGGAAACCAGGTTTTCCAGATATGAGCGTACCACCACCAGGAGCAGGATTACCTCCACCTTTCGAAATGCCACCTCCTGGATATTCCGGAGAGCCAGCTCCATTCTACATGCCTGAAACTGATCCATATTATCAAAGTTATGAACCTACTCAGGATAGTCAATGGGGTAATGACCCAGTAAGTATATAGATCATATTATAATGGAATGATATATTTTTAATAGCAACATAAAAATAGTCAAACAAAAATACTATATTAATATTTTAATCGAAATAGACTTGGCAACCAACAAATTTAGCCATTCCAATGACGGAAGGAGAAGAAGACAAAGATATGGGCCCTAAAACGATACCCACAATGGTACCACCTATATCTATGCCACCGTTATTGCCACCTAGAGATCAACGGGACATTCGAGGGGATCGTGAGAGAGACAGAGACCGAGATAGGGAACGTGAAAGGGATATGGACTCGATGGGTAGGGAAAGAGAAAGGGATAAAGAAAGAGAACGTGATCGTGAAAGAGAAAAAGATTCCATGATCAGAGATCGTGATCGAGAAAGAGACTCTGTGGCACGAGACGAAGAAAGAGATCGTGATAGATCACGATCACAGTATCGACATAAAGAGAGGTAGGACGATGAATGCGAGATATTAAATTGTTTTTTCTATTATTGTTATTATTATTACTGTTGTTGTTGCTATTGTTGTTATTGTTATTGTTGTTGTTATTGTATTTTCAAAGAACACAATTATATTGCGTTACAAAACTTTTTTTCTCTCTCTCTCTCTATATATATATATCCATATCCATAAGAATATATCCAAAATTATTTTCAATCTATTTTTTACTTTTTTCATTAGGCATAGGCATCGTTCAAGGTCGCGATCTCGTAGACACAAATCGCGATCACGAAGTCCGAGTAGACGTAAGAAGAAATCAAGACGCTCCGACAGGGAACGTTCTAAAGAAGAAAGCGAATGAGAGTATAGAAATGTAAACGTGCGTTTATGTATGCGTATATATGTATATATATGCACGAGTATGTATGTATATAAAATATCGTTATTACCAATTAAAATATGAAATAAAATAAAGAGAAGAAAAACAAAATTATCGACGATATTGAAAAAGAGAAATTGCCATTTCTTTTTTTTTTTTTTTTTTAAACCTATTTGCATCACGTCTTTGAATACACTGTTATGCATCCTAATAATAAATTTGTATAAATTTTTGAAACGTTCGATTGACAACCGGCCCGTATTACCGCGCATTTACTATTAATTATTAAATTATATTATTATTTCGCATTTGAATACAAGTGGTGTTAAATAATAATCAATACTTAAAGGAAAATTTTAAATTTTCAAATAAATTATAATCATTTCTGCTATCCTATCTCTCTCTCTCTCAATCTTTCATGATTCTTTGTTATTACTTAAGCAAAATAAACGACACAGTATGAGTGATAATAACATAAAAATTATTGATAATAAAAATAAAAGATAAAAATATGTTATGTAATAATTGTCCTATGATTCCGACATAGTCGTCCTGCTGTACATTGTCAAGATCCTAATGCGTCATTTTATTTTTTTATTTAATTATACGAGACATACAAAATAACACTTTTTTATTAATAAAATAAATAAAATAAAAAATATATATATTTTATCCGTTAAATAGTTTAATTATTAAATATCACAAATTAAAATAAAATATTTACCCAGAATTAGAACCTTCAATCCTCGTGGTGGGTTGTTATACTCGTGACCATCTAAATTAATTTCACAGGGGAAAAAAAAATTATATAAATGAATAAACCCTTTTGTTAGGGCATACTTTGATGCGTCTACTGTTCCATATAAACAAGTATAATCGCAAGTATAAAAGTATAATCGCAGAGTACGAGCCTTATATGAGTCGCCAAAAACAAAAGGGTTAAAAGGTAGTTAAGGAATAAACAAAAAAAATTAAAATAACAAACACGTGCCATTCAATGTATGGTTTTATATCATAATGTTATTACAGAAATTGTATTTCATAATAATTAAAAGTAGTAATAGCTTATCAATAAATCATTCACGCGAGTGAATTAATGGGATCGATAATAACGCCGATTTCTAATATCGATCGTTATCATATCGATCGTTGCACACACGTGTTCTTTCTTTCTTTCTTTTTCTTGTTCCATTTGAAATTTCTTCCTCACTTTATTTTCTTTTTTTTTACCATCAAATTTTTTCCTTTTGTTTTGTTGGTTGTATATTAAACTGTTATTGTTGTCGGTTTATATTATTTTTTTTTCTTTCATTTTTCATTATCTTCATACATAATGGAAAAAAATGTTACATTTGTACAGCCATCATATACATGATACATTTAGAATACCATTAATACATTTTTTTTTCACTTAAGTGTGTGTCGCGTGTTTGTTTGTTCCTGTATTGTGTGTCTATCAAGTGTATTCGCGCGTATATGTGTGTATGTATGCGTGTTATGTATGTATGCATGTAATGTCATTACATTGTATGAGAGAGTATGCCTACTTATAAATTGAAAAAGTGCTACTTCAAGTGCTCAAAACAAATAGTCATTGCATGATTCCATTCCGAAAAAGGGAGAGAAGAGGGGGGGTAACAAAACGATACACGAAATATTTTTTTATCTTTTTTTTCGTTTGCATCACAAAACCTAAGAAAGATATGAAAAAAAGGATATTTATGAGTTTGTGTTAATTATACAATAAAATATATTTAATTATATTGAACACGAATATGTGTCGATGTAGATATGAAAAATGAAAAATTTAAATAATGATTTTCCTCTATTTTCGAAGGAAAAGAAATGTTGGAATGCGTTGAAAATTATTCGATTAAATTCTCATTGAATATTAAAGTAAAACGAAGATAAGAAAACAATAAATTAAATGATTTATTACAAATTATTATTGTGATATTTTTGTATGTATGTTTAATATTGTCACGTTTACGAAAAATAAAATAAAATAGAAAAGATAAAAAAAGAAAAACGTAATTATTTGTAAAAATAAAACTAATTGTAAGATATGCGATATTTTAGATAGATCAAGTGATTTCAATGCCAGGATAAACGAGATCTTCGGTAATTTAATCGATAAATCGTGTGTCTTTACTTTTGTATTAAATAATAATTTCTCTTTTTCTATTTCTCTTTCTTTCTCTCACATTGATGATTATAACTTTTTTCTTTTCATTTGAATTTTTGTCGTTTACAACCTTTTCATTTTAATATAAATAATTGAAATTAATCTAATTTTTAATTTTAAATATTTATATCTTTCTTTTTTAATATTCTCGATAAAAATCAAATTTTTTTTTAATTATTTTAAATAAAACTTTCGTGAAATTTCGTATTTACCAGTTCATCCTTTTTTTTCATATTTTTTCTTTCTATCTTTCTTATCGTGCAAAATGTTAATGAATTTACAAATAACTGAAACTCGTTATTAAGTTAACAGATAAAAATGTATTCGATGATAAAAGAAAACGCAAAAATGTGAAAATAAATCAAACACGATCGAGGACAAAAAAATGGCGGATGATTCGTTTCAGACGACAAAGTTGCTTTCTTCTTTGTATCGACGATGCACAACAATATTAATAATAATAATTATTATTAATTTTAATAATATTATACAAATATAAAAGAAAATAAATGAATCAAGCATTTTTCGCAGGGACGCGATTGGCAAAATTATCCTTAATATTTGTCAAATGATTATCAATCGATTAATTACTGATTAGTTAAAAGAAATAATAATAATAATAATAATAATATTGGACAACCCAAAGAATAAACAAATGTATAATACAAAAAAAAAACTAAAAAAAGAAAAAAAATGACAAAGACGAGTTTATTACCATTTTGTACAAGGGCGGGGGGAATTTGGTTGTCCAGATGAGAAATTAAATACTTTTCTTCTTTGAATTGTCCTTGGTGCCAAAAATTATAGTGCGATTATTCTTTCATATCCGACACTCATTCATTCATATTATTTTTTCTTTTTTTCGTTTTGTTTTGTTGAAAATGTTTCTCTCTCTCTCTCTCTCATGCAAAGCGTACATACGTAGTATACACTCAATCAATCAATCTCTCTCTCTCTTTCTCTCTCTCTCTTTTTGTTCTTGTGATTAATTACGCGTGTGTTTTTTTATAATAATTATTATTTTTGTCGGTACTTATAAATGTTAAATAGTATAACGACGCGTGATGTCTCTCTACTATACTCGCACTGTTTCTGCCTGTTTTGTAAAAAACATTGTCGAAAATGATTTTTTTTTCATGGCTATTTTTTTCATATCTCGATTTTTTTCTACATTCTATACACTAATATACAAGTTACATAATAAGATTCTTCTTATTTTCTTTTCTTTGTTTGTTTTCTTTTTGTATGTATATTGTATGTATGTTGTTTGTTTTGTTTTGTTTGTTTGTTTTGTTAATTTGTTCGTTAATTTTTTTGTTCGGTTGTATCTTTCCATTAAATAATAATATATGCGTTTTGTCTTGTTTTTCTGTCCCACTTATCTAATTATCATCATCTCGCGTAGCGTTTAGATTAATAATTAATTAATTTTATTTCTCCCATTTTTTGTTCTGTTTACTTTTACTTTTAAATTTTAATTTTTCTTTCCTATTTTTTTTTTTACTCGTCAAAACTACCGCGTTTCTTGATTATATTTTTTATTTTTAATTTAATTAACATTGATTCAATTCTTACGACGCACACAAGTTGTAGACAATTTGTCGATTATAATATATATAATTATAAGAATTTAATTGTAATATATGTATTAATCGTATCCAATTGTAAATTTCGAAGAAAATCTTTTTCACAAATGTCGATTTTTGCCATCACATTTTTTATTTCATTATATATATA